TGATTCAGTTCTGGAAACTAATTTTAAAATATAATATTTGATGGTTATTTTAAAACAACTGTAAGTATTATATATTTAACGCTTGTTTTGAAATAGTTGTCAAACATATTACTTCAATACTTGACACTATCAAGTATATCAAGCTTATATTTGATGGTTGCTATTAAACAAGCATCAAATATATGTACATTATATATTTGATGGTTATTTACTGATAACTATCAAGTATATATTTATTTACTTGACGGTTGTTTTAAAATAATCATCAAGTATTCTCTATCTATTTTATTTTTCACTTATTTAAAATAACTATCAAGTATGGAGTGTCTTCTTTAAATAATTTTGTAGTAGTAAAAATTAAAAATAGACTACTTGGAAGCTTGATGATGTACAAAACACCAAAAAGATATGGAAGCTTGAAGGCATAACATAATAAATGATTAAATATTTTTTTTACTTTTTTCCTCCATATTTTTCTCAAAAATTAATAAATAAATGATTAAACTTTTATCTTCAACTAAGTTAAATGCTTCCCCTTCTTTTGTTAAAAATATAATTTTTATCATTTTATTATATGATGTAAAAGAAGATGGGGAGATGGGGAAGAGAGAGAAGAGAAAGGAGGAGGAGAGAGAAAGAAAGATGGGAATGCCGAAACTCTCAAAAATTCTACTAAATAATATTCAAAGTTGAATACAAATGAAAACCCTATATCTATTTGGAGTTATAAAATGATAAAATAATAATAATAAAATAATGAATCTAAATCAAAATCATAAATCTAATTTAAAAATATACTAATAAAATGATAATATCCTATTTTATTAAATATAAATAAATCTAAGGTAATGATAAAATAAATTAATAAATCCTAATTCTAATGGATAAATATCCTTATTTAAATATCTCTAATAGATAATCTTAATATCTTAAATGCACCCTAATTTTCTTACTGAACAATTATTCCATATTCCATCATTTCTCTCCCACTTGAAAAGCTCATCTCTTGATGAGTTAAAATAAAAGCACAAATTAGTTTGGGAGGGAAGAGTAGGATAAAATTTCATCTATGTGCACAGATATGAAAATTCCTTTTACCAAGTGAGGTAGCAACGAATTATATCATGTGGAGGACAACAATGATTATTTTGAATTTTTGAAAAACCTTTCCAATAGATAAGATACTGTTGAAGCTTCTTGTTAAGTGATAGGACATTCTTGATAGGTACAGCTTGTAGATGAGGTGAATCTATATTAAGGTGAGGCTAGTTCTAGTTGATCACATTGGGAAGGTGCCAATTGCATAGCAAGTAGAGGAATTTTTGCTGGAATTTCTAATAGAGCTTGTGGTGGTAATGGTGCTGGGGTGGATAAACCACTCTCATGGTTATGCTCCATCGAAGTTTCAATATAGCCAAGTTTTAGTAAATCAACAACTCTGTAATATGCTGGAACATCTTTATATTTTCAATTAGATGTGCACCTTCTTGAATTTGATGTTTCAATTTAGTATTGGATTCAGCATTATAGCATTTAACCTCAGCTATTCGCCTTTCAAATTTAGTACTAAAAATTTTATCCTCAACAATCTATCATGTATATTTAACCCTATGACGTGCTTCATAGTAGCACCATTAGTCATATACATACTAGTATTGGTGTTGTTCTTCAATTATTTTCCTATGGTAGCCTTTTTGATATTATGAATGCCTAACATATAGAGGTGGGATGTCATAATAATTTTGGCACTCCCTGCATGGACATTTATGGTAATATCCCAAATAAAATCATGAATATATGGATTGAAAAATACCCTTTAAATATTTTGATATGATGATCTGTGGCTTTAGGAAAGATTTGGATTACTTTATGGATCTCAACTAGAAAAATAACCCATGGAAGGGAGGTGGAATCAGAGTCTAGTACCAAATTGATGTAAAATAGGAAGGGAGAGGGGGAAGAGAGAGAAAGAAAGAGGAAAAAAGGCCAAAACTCTAAAAAATGCTATTTAATAATATTCAAAACTGAATATAAATGAAAACCCTATTTCTTCTTTTAGAGTTCTAAAATGATAAAATAATAATAAAACAATGAATCTTATTCTAAGTCCTAAATCTAATTTAAAAAGATACTGATAGGATGATAATATCCTATTTTATTAAACATAAATCAATCTAAGATAATGATAAATTAAAAAAATAAATCCTAATTCTAATGGACAAATATCTTTGTTTCAATATATTTAATAGATAATTCTAATATCTTAAACAAATCCTAATTATTTTAATTAACTATTATCGCATATTTCATCATTATATCTAAAACTTATTTTTTGAAGAAAAATCTAATCTTTGACTTTAAAAGCAAATCATAGAAATATATTAGGAATAAAAAAGATTAATATCTCAATATTTAATAAAATTTAATTTTTTAAAAATAACTTTAAAGTATCAGCTTTAAAGTATTAACTCGTAATTTAAAAGTATTAAATATTTTATTAAAAATTAAAATTTTTAAAATTAAAAAAATATTTTGATATTTTATAAATATATATTAAAAAAGTATTAATAAGTATAAATATCAAACACCATATGTGTATATATATATATATATGGGCAACTTTAAAAATAGCTATTTCATCAGCAGCTGGTGCTGCTTGTTGAGATTCAGTGGGCCCCACAAATATCAATTTACTTTCTCTTTCATGCACGCTCTTTTATATTGGATTATTGCCCTTCGGTTTAAAGTTATAAATACATACTAATAAATTCGTTGAGACATTGTCAGTCTGGAACAGTAAAGTAATTTTTAAAGTAAATTATTTCCTTTTTGAATTTTTTTTGAATAATTTATCTCAAGAGTACGGCGTATGAAATTGACAAACATAAGCGCTCAAAATTTAGCCTACTTGCATGTACTCTCTATGTTAAAAATATAAAATATTTTTAATTAAATTTTATTTTTTAATAAGATAATTATTTATTTTTAAATTAACTCTATCTTTTTATATTTTTTTTACTCTACAATAAATATAAAGTCATTATTAATAAAGACACTTTTAAAAAAAGTAATAATTATACCTTAAATAATTAAAAATGTCTTACATTTTAACATTTAACTTTTTAAAAAAATATCTTATATTTTTAAATGAAGGAATATTAAATAGGAAATAAATCACTTTTGTCTCAATGGCATCTTGGTGGTTTTGGGCAAACACCAAGGCTATATTAACTCATAAACACAAGACTTTCCCCTCAATAGTCTTGAGAGCTTTGAAAACCCTCGTCCCTCTTCCTCCCAAACCCCTTCTCTTCCATTCTGAAGCGACTGCTTTCCATTTCGTGTGACTCAAAGAGAAATCAAGCAAGAGGTACTCTCTTCATTTAAAAATATAAGACATTTTTAAAATAATTTTATCTCTCAATGAAATAATTATTTACTTTTAAATTAATCATATTTTTTTATATTTACCTCTATTAAACACACTACAATAAATATAAAATCATTTATTAATAGAGACACTTTAAAAAAAATAATAATTATACCTTAAAAAATTAAAAATATCTTATATTTTTAAATATCCAACTATTTGCTTTCCTCTCCGCTAGAACCATGGTGCTAGCTCTTGAACTGATTCAGAGACTTGTTAGCCATTTGTAGAACTTGGCCAAATGACTACGATTTGAACTTTAATTTAAAGAACCGGCAAATTTTTAACTGCAGTATCTTTAAAAAAGCTGAATTTTTATTTTACAGATAATCCTTTGAGTATGACAACGAGAATCCTGCTGGTAATCCCAGTTTTTTCAATCCTGGGAATTACACCTTTAAGATTTTCATATTTTAATATTCAAAATTGGCGGGTGACAAAAAATCGGGGTGATGCGAGAGACAACGGGCTAATAGTGTGAGTGGATGAAGCGGATCCACTCGCACGTGTCAAACAGTCACGTGAGCCGTTTTCACTTTCCACGTTCGCATACGGAAACGGTGGCGTCCCTTCCCTTCCTCCTTTCCTCTTAGGAAATTGTACATTTGTCTTAAGTTCAGTCCATCTTCGGTGGTCAGCAACGTCAACCACAAAAAATTAGGATAATCGAAATTATTTTTTTATTTTAATTTTATATTTACTAAAATAAAAATTTATAAATTTTGTTGATAAATTTGTTCATCATCAATTTAAATAGTACTTATCTAATTTGGGTGGTCTAATGTAATATTATAATTTTTATAAATTGACTATTTACATATATTTTGAAAATTTTAGTATATTAAATTTTTATCTGCAAGGTCTATATTGAAAGTTTTTATTTTTTATTTTGATAAATAAAATATATGATCTTTTAACTAGAAATTTGTTAAAAAATATTTTTTAAAAAATAAAAAATAAAAAATTCTAAATTTGGATTATAAAAAAGACATCTGTCAGTCAATATATAAAAAATATAAAAATTTTAATATTAAACTGGGCCTTTCAAATTTAATATAGATCAGATTAGTCATGAAAAAATTATTAAAACTTTCTTATAACTTTTATAAATTTTTATTTTAAAAAATATAAAATAAAATTATTAAATTAATTCTTTAAATTTGGCTCATCGAGGTTAAAAATCTAAATGGTCTAAATTGTACCCTGATGAGCAAGGTGATAAGGCCGAAGATAGATCCGCTTGGGCTCCTCATTTTCTTCGTGAATGACCTCTTAACCTTCACCCTCACTCTTATCTGATACTTTACTGATACTGATACAGGCTAGTAATGTCTTTATCAATAGTTTAGTAGGGACTATATTGTATTTTCACTGGTGTTGCCCCAGACTACCCTTTCCCATCCTGTTTCCAATTTGCAACGCATCATTGTGACACACAAGGCGCGTCCATTCTCTCTTAACCTTCCCCCTCACGCTTATCACACACAACAATCAATATCCATTCTTCATTCTCTCTCCCTCTCCCCCTAACCAATTCTTCTCGCAAGCAGTAGCGCCGGTGGTTGTGACGATGACGACGACGACGACGACGATAGCAGATGTCTGTAATGTGGTGGTAGGATTGAAGCCGATGTTGTTAATGGTGATGGTTCAGATAGCGTTCGCGGCTGTTAATGTGCTCTACAAGCTCGCCGTCAATGACGGCATGAACCTAAGAGTTTTGGTTGCCTATCGCTTTCTCTTCACCGCCATTTTCATGGCTCCCCTTGCTCTTGTTCTGGAATGGTCAGTTTCGTCTTATATCTGACAATAGTTTCAATGAATATTTATTTGTGCCTTGTTTTTCATTAAATAATGATGAAAGGTAAACCAATTTCAGGAACAAGAGACCAAAGATGACTTGGAAGACACTGTTTCAAGCCTTTCTTTGTGGTTTATTTGGGTAAGTGTATCAAATTTGGGTGCGTTTTTGCTTTTCTGTTCATATTGGAATAACTAGCTAGTTTAAATATAATATGTTCATTTGGCATATTATATGGGATAGATATAATTTTTATCAGATATATAAAATACCAAAAAATTATAAAATGATTCTTTTACTTTTAATCACCAAAAGAAAAAACCTCCCCGCATAAAATTATACTTCTAAAAGCATCTAATTGTTAATTTTCTTATTAACTCTTTATATAATTAAATAATAAATAAATAAAAAGTTGATACGTATCCTAAATATATCTTCCAATTGAACGAATGGGAAACCAAATAGGAATAGTTCATAATAACTTGACAAAGAATGATATTAAAGGCTATATTTTATATATATGTATGTATGTATGTAATTGCACTACTAAATATGAAGGAGTTATTTAACAGACAGCCCTAAATTTGGCAAAGCCCTTTGTCTTCAACACATAGTATAGAAAAAGAAATAGTAGAGAAGAAAATAAAATAGACTCAATATAGTACCAATGCGCATGAGCTTGTAAGGTTCTAATTGGATTCATTCCATGTCTAAACTCATGAGCTAGCTAGTAGCTAGTCTATATTCACAAAAGAGAAAATCAGATAAAGCACATATGTATATGTGGATGTATATGTATATATAGTTTCCCTAAAAATGATTGTTTTATGTAATTTGACCCTTATTTAAATGGTTCAGGATTGGACCTTTAAACCCCTGCCGTTAACAAAAATTAAACTTAACCATTAATTGACCATAAAAAATCTCAAAAATTATAGAAAATGATTCAAATTAAGTTTTCAGAAAAAGATCAATAAAATTTTGGTCTTGTTCTATCATGCCCCAAAATAAGGGGTGACCGGCATAGGATGTGAACCACATCATATATATCGTAAGTCATAAAGTCAAGGTTTATTTTATTTAATTAAAATGTACTCAGTTATTCACTAACATTTTAATACTATTGATACTAATCATTATAATAATTATTTCAACATTTTGTAAAAATTTTGATAGAACCTCCTCTGTAAATAAGATCTCTCAAAAATTCTGTATCACCAAAATTTTCCTTAAACATTATATTAATCAGGAGCTCGGCTCCTTCCACCAGCAGACAAAATGTATAATAAACTAAGGATTCTAATTATAAGTTATTTGGAGCACCTAATCATATATCTCATGACATAACATATAAATTTCATATTTATATCCATAAGACATATTTACAGAACAAGCCTTCATTCTGTTTTGCAAACATCCATCATTGGTAAGCAAGATGTACAGTGTCAATTATGCTATCTGAGACCAAAATAATTTTTCAATGAATAACGTCCCAATAATAAATAATTTAACATGAATAAATAGAAAATTTTAAAATAATCATGTAAGCTAAAGAAACAATAATTTCCATAAAAAAATGTATAAACTTCAGAATAAAATGGTTATATAAAATTTTGAATAAAATCTTAAACTATTGAGCTATCATAGCAAATGTTAATATCATTTGATTTTAAGAAGTTACGTAAATGAAATAAAGACTTGTAAATAAATTACTAAATAAAAACTAATGGAGTATAAATCATCAAATAATTGGATTCATAATTATAGGAACTTATTAGAATAATTAACAAACGTGGGCACACAGTCCACGAGAATAAATAACCAAATGTGGCTTGTGCTATGAAGACAAATGTGGACACACAGTCCATAAGAGTAAGTAACCAAATGCAGTCGAAGCTATGAAATAATTGTGGACATATAGTCCACGAGGGTAATGCTAACCAAACGTGGCTCAAAGCCACGAAATCAAACGTGAGTACAATGCTCACGAATAACCATCCCCCTATTCCAGCACCTCCTATAAGCACTCTGCTAGCTAGGTGAACCATGACGCTCTAAGGGCTAACGGAACTGCCGTTAGCAATCAGTGTTCTGTACAAAATTCTCTTCAAATCCATTTTATAACATACAAGAAAATCATCACTTTCACAATAAAATTTTCATTTTCAAAGTCAAACTCGCATGAATCATTCTCTGTATCAATCCAATGTTCGATAGAATGAAATCTCATAATCAAAGTCCAAACTTATATTTATTAATTAATTAAAATTTCAAAACTATTCAATAACCACATCGTCATTACTAAAACAATTTTGCAAACAAATGTACTATTATAGTAAAGGAAATCTTTATTGAAAAATCAGTTGGGACGCTATCCACTTACCTATAATATGCCCGAGTATCAGAATTCATTTCTTAGAACTTCAATCAACTCTTCCTTCCTCTTAGCATCCTCTTCAATATAAAGAAAGATTTAATGGCCTTACTTTAGTTAAATAAGTTATTTTCCAATATTGAAAACACTATAGTGAATTGGTTTCAAATCATTATAATTTAATCAACCAAGTCTTAATTTCTTCTGTCCTTTTAATACTTTACATGCCTACTTCCCCATCCAACAAATTGCTTATACTTTAATTTGTTTTCCCAACCATTCTTTGAATTATGTAACTAAACATTAATCAGGGTGCGTATAAGCACATCTACATACACACACACCCCCACATTTACTCTCTCAAGTCATTGAACATCTTTCATGCATATTAAGATTAAATAATTAAACAACATTAATGTTTGTAAGTATCAACCATATGACTCTCAAGAGCTTAGCTAATCAATTCTTCCTTAAATCTCAAGTTAATGCAACAATAACCTATACCAAGTATGCTTATAAAAAAATTAGTGAAAATTTAGAAAAATACATATTCAAGCAGAGTCCACCTAATAAACATTTCATCTAACAACTTGTAAACATCAAATCTTAACCTATAATTCTAAACTAATTTCTTATCAAATATCATTCTAACAGTTTCTATGTTAATTTCAAGTTTATCAAACTTCTAACAAAAAAATTAATAATAATTAGTTCAAATATGAAAAGGTTACCCACCTTGCCTCTTACAATAATCAAAGGGCTTAAAGCATAGTTTCCTATTGAAAATTAAAGTTTCAACTGGATCACACCCCACCTATTCTCCTCTTCCACGCTCAGGAGCAAGAAATAACTAATTGCAACCCCAATCAAACAATACACATGCACACACAATTGGCGAAGGAAAAAAACTAAATCTCCTACCTTGAACCAGCAACGACGTGAGCAGAGAAGGAGGAGAAAGAACCTACGACACTGCACAAGGAAGAGGGAGAAGACCATTCAATGCATCCTTTCATAGCATCAAAAACAGAGGAGGGGGAACTGAAATTCAAAGCCCACATGCACACCAAACAACGTCACAACAAGGAAGAGGGAAGCGATTGACATCACACCTGGGAGAACTCACAGCCAAACTCCTTGCAACGGCAGACGAAGCTTATAGACTCATCAACACTGACGACATATGAGAATAGATAAAGAAGACGGAGAAGATGGATGGAGAAGATAGAGAAGCTTGAAATTTCTAGATCCAGGATTTCTCTCCCTCTCTCCCCTCGTGCTTTGTTCTTGACCGACAAAGGAAAGGAAATTTAAAGAGATAAAGTTTATTAGGAAAAATTATAAGAAACCCAATGGATATTTTCTAAAATCGCACAAGAGGTAAGGGCATTTTGGTAACTTCGTTCAATGCCAACAAAAAATGAAATTTCCATTAGTATAGGTAAGATTCGAACCCCATACCTCCAAATAACAACTGACATAGTTTCCACTGAACCATTACTCCCTATTTATTATATAATAAAAAAATAAAATATAATATCAATTGAAAAAAAAATCATTTAATTTATTTATCATTTCATTTATCTTTTTTTTTAAATTTTTTTAGGGCTATTACATGTTGTGAATTTTGATTTTATTTACTATTATTTTTTATTAATTAACGGTCAAAATTAATTTTTCTTAACGCAGGAGTGTATGACTTACTCATTAATTTCTATTTTAAAAATATTCATATAATTTCTTACCTTGGAATTTCCAAACTCAAAATATAATTGCAAATATGTTGGCAAAAAAAAAAAATCTAATTGCAAATATAATGGTAAACAATTATTAGTTTGAATCTATATATATGTATCGTATTTATCTACTAAAAGAAGTTATTTTTTCCTCAACAATGGTTTGCTTTTTTTCTTTTATAAGTTTTTTCTCTAGACATGGTTTGTTTGATATTATTCTGGGACAAATAAATTAAATAAAGTAACTAATATTATGATGATATATGAATTGTTATATACGTGGAGGATCATTGTCGCAAAACTTATACATGGAAGCACTGGCTTTAACATCAGCAACATTTGCTACAGTGATGGCCAACCTTGTTCCAGCCATCACCTTTATAATGGCTGTTGTTTCCCGTGAGTGTCCTTGCATTTAGAACTTTCTTTCTTCTTTTTTTATTTTAGCACAATTTCTTATATTTCTTAGTCCTATCCTTCATTTCTCATTGTTCTTTTCTCACAAATATATAACTTTGATTAATTAGGTTTAAACGTTGAGCACCTTTCTGATTTCATGCCCACATAAATTTCCTTCTTTTATGCTTTGTGTGAACCTTTTTCTTTTTCCTCCAACCAACTTTCTTGCAATTTTTGTTTATGAGGAAATGCAATTCTTGGTTACTAAATGTTTAATTCATTATCAATTCAATCCCTGAACTTTGCAAAACAATTTAATCCTTACAGTTTTAACTCAAAACAATAATTTTTTTATTCACTACAACTCATTCCCTATATTTCTTTAAATCAAAAAACTAAAGGAGCTAAATCAATAATTGAGCAATGTTTAAAGAGTAAATTAAATTGCTACCAATACTATCACCACAAATTAGCATATGAAAATTACAAATCATGAATTATATTATAATATGACTTATTTATGAAATTATGATGAATAGCTTGGAAAGTTTGGGTTTACGAACAGCATCAGGAAAAGCCAAGATTGTTGGAACAATGATAGGAATAAGTGGGGCTATGATTCTAACATTTTTCAAAGGTTTAGAAATACACACAGGCTCCTTTCCACGCCCACTCATGCATCATCGAATGGACACGAGGTATCACTGCAGTCTTCCTTTGATAGTAACACCTCTTAGGTGGTCTTTGCACTCTAGGAAGCCACTCTAGCACTACTACAGAATACCTCCTTACTTGACGGTTATTTTAAAAATTCTTTGACGGTTTTTAATCGTCAAGTAATGGGACGTCATATATTTATTTGACAGTTAAAAATTGTCAAATATTTAGAGACCACTTGATAGTTTAAATAACCGTCAAGTAATCACTTAAACATTATCGTATACTGTATCAATATACTTGACGGTTATTATGAAATAACCATCAAGTATTTAGTAATATTTGACATTTATTTCGAAACAATTGTCATATATATTTTCAAAATTTTGTGTGCCAAATATTTGATAATTGTCAAATAAGTATGCATACTTGACGGTTATTTCGAAAGAACCATCAATAATGTTGTAGTTGATGTTTCTTTTTAAATAACTGTCAAGTATTTATAATGTGCTTTTTTTTTTTAAGTTGGGGCTCCTTTTCAAGCAGTCCCCTACAAATACAAAGCAATCAGAATATATATACTAGCCAGCTAATAATAAAAAACAATTGAATCATTATTTATATTAAAATTACAATCCAAATATTTAATCTCTATATCTACCTATACCCTAACCCCGATGCCATAAAACAATCTATAACTTTGCCTACTTTACAAGTTAAAATTTCAAACTTAATTGGCCTCAAACATAAAATTGACCAAAAATAAAATAAATGTGTATACAAAACTAATGGGGTCTAACCACTGCTACTATTCACATGTTAAACACGGCCTGAGCTCTACCTCTTCAAGGTTTCCTCAATATGTGCAGCTACATACCTTAATTATACTCAATCAAGTTACCCAACAAAAATTGATATAAAAATTTTATCCCAAAAATTCGACAGCATAATAACTTAAAAAAAGAGTTTTTCAGGTTTGAACCCTCTCTTTATTCAAAAATTCCATCATTCACAATTCACATATAATACTTATACCCAATCAAATTATCCATAGCAACAATTAATACAAAAATTTTTGTCCTATAAATTCAATACAAGTAATCATATCTAATCAAGTTATCCAACACCACAAATTAATCACCATCACCACAATAGGGAAGCAATTTTTAACAAATTCATATAATACCCAACAGTAAATTAATTTTCATATAATCTTAAATTTATTTTGTAACTAACAAAGAACTAAAAACCAAAGCCTATATACATTCAATCACAAATCATGGTTCTAATGAACAAAAAATTCATATTCCAATTGTTAATTCCAATCAACTCCCTAATTACAATTAATTGATAACAATACCACAAGGAAGAAGGATAGGCCAACTTACTTAAGAGAGGGCAGAGCACGAGGATGAAGAAGAAAAGCAGGGGAAGGAGGAAAGAAGACAACTCGCATTTTGCACTGTTGAAAAGCAAGTAGGGGAATTTGAAGTCAGATTTATCCTAAATACTAGACTCAAAAATGAATTAAACAGATGAATGGAGAAATTAACTTACATATGAAAAATGGAGAACAAACCCAAAATGCCCGAAATGAAGACTTCGATGAATGAACAACACACGAACCCTAAAAAATGGAACCCATGAGCAAAACCCACGAAGAATCGAGTCCAAATCTGTGTTTTTGGCTATTTTGGTGACGAAAATGATTTTCAAGCACTCTGGGTGTGTTTTCAAAAATGTTTAAGTTGCAGAAATGTGAAAATGAAAGGTTCTGAGTGTAAATTTAAAAGGCAATATTTGATGGTTATTTCATAATAACCGTCAAGTATTCCTTACTTGACACTTGTTATTAAAATACGTCAAATAAAATGCAGCCATACTTGACGGTTATTAATAAACAAGCGTCAAGTAATTATTTTTTTTATTTTTTCATTTAAATTATTTATTTGATTCTTGTTTACAAATAACCATCAAGTATACCAAAATATACTTGACGGTTATTAGCAAACAAGTGTCAAAATATATTTATAAAAAATTCAAATATGGGATGCAGATATATTTGCCGATTACGTGAATATAACCATCAAATATGTACTAAATACTTGACGGTTATTTTGAAAAACTATCAAGTATTTACCTGCCTTTTTTATTTGTTGTTTACACTTATAACTGTTAAATATAAGGTGTCATATTTAGCTTATTCTATTGTAGTGTAGTTATGCTCTATGGCTTATTATTAGGTCTGCTTTCTCAATATATGATCATTTTACTTCTTTTACTCGTTCATTTTTCATTTTATTACATATTAAACATATTTTTTCTTTGGGTTATTGCATTAATAAGACAAAGATGAGTGAAAGTTACCCATGTCATTACTCTAGCACAGCTTTGATGAGTGTGGTTGTAGCAATCATATCTATTGTTTTGCTCTCTCTCTTGAAAGAGATATGACTCATGGAAGTTGTGTTGGAGTGTTAGGCTTCTTACTATAGCTTACTCGGTATATATGTCATTATTGTTCATATTAATATGAGAAGTTTTTTTTTGGATTAATCAATTTTTGTTAGTGTGGTGAATTTTAATATAATAATGAATATAGGGAATAGTTGTGTCTGGTGTAATGGTAGTGGTGATGTCATGGTGTATGCACATGAGAGGCCCTGTTTATGTATCTGCTTTCAATCCTCTCATGCTTGTCTTTGTAGCCTTGGCTGGTTGTTTCATGTTAGATGAGAAGCTACATCTTGGAAGGTACGTACTTCTTTGCTTGATTTTATAAGATTTTTCTTTTTTACATAGTTTGATCTTTTCTTTTGGCTAGATATGTAATTTGATGTTATAATATAGGATGTTTAAAAAAATAATGATTCATTAATAAAGCTTATTCTAAAATAATGATTCTTTCTTGCCTTCACTCTAATAAAAAAAAATTAGATTTCAAATTATATTATTAATTGATTTTATTGATATTTGTAATTTTAAAAAATAATTTATAAAATGAGATTGAGAGAATAAACACTTACATTTGTCCTCACTTGCAAGCTCACAAACACATGCCCACCACATATGTTTGCTTTCACAAACACTTGCTACTGTTATTTGTTCTAGTTAGTGGCACAAATGCACATTATATACAATAACTTACTTTATAATTTATGATTTTTTACCACAAATTTGCAGTTTATTGGAGGGGTGTTGATAATTTTGGATTATATGGAGTTCTATGGGGAAAAAGTATAGAGGTGAATCAACTTGTTGCGTCTCATAGCCTTTAAGAAATTATAGCAAGATCTCACAGAAGATGAATGTATTCCTCATAACACCAATAATAGTAATGATATTGAAGTTGTTAGAGATAGTGAGATCTCCATCAATCTTAAATGCAGGAGCTAGTTGAGAGGATATTTTGCGCGGCCGTGGCTTTATGTAAAACTTCAATACCTACCTTATTCAAATTTAACTTTTTTTCCCAGACTATATCCCTCTATTCGATTTCGTCACATAGTAAATGGGGATTTTCATTATTATGGGTAGTTTCCAATGCAAATGATCAAATATTCAAATGGGATATTAAGGAAAATCAACAAAAGATTTACAAATAATTGCCTTAATTTGCATTATCAATCGCCTTGTTTTACATTATATAACTTTCAAAGACTTTTACTTGATAGAATGAAATGTCTTGGGATTACCTGATTCATCATTTATATACCTTTTTATGATTTAATTTCAGACAAAATATATTCTAATATCATAATTATGTCTATATCATTACCAAATTAAAAACAAATTTTAAAAGCCAATAAGCTACTTTAAAATAATATATTTATATACACATAATTGTTAACTTCAACCATGATAACCTTTATTTTTTTTATATTATAAAATTGACTCTTTTTTGGCAAAAAATAAAAAACCTGTATTTTGTCCCTTTTATTTTCTTCCTTCAATTAGCTTTGGGCTTCCTGCAATTGCAGACAATATTCATCTTAGAGAGTCTTATGGGCCAATTTATCTGCTGCATGATTTTTACTCCCTAAAGTTTTCTGGTGAAGCCCATGAATAGAATAGATGAAACAAGGATTCTTTGCTTAGAGAGTATCGATTAAGCATTTTTAAACTAGTTATAGAACCCATCATAACATAAATTCATAATTTATTGTTAGATTATAGTTGAACTAGTTCTAAATATATTTTTATTTATTTTTAATTTTATATATTAAAATAATATTATAAAAATCAACAATAATAGATCCCATAAGCATAGTATTTAATTTTGAAAGTCAAGGCATGGGCTTCATAGTATTTAAATTTGTATCGAATGATTAGAGAAGTTGGAGAGAGTAATTAAGTCACATGTAGAGTAGTAAAGTTTAATTAGAAGAAATTAACAAGTGTGGGCCTAATAGAAGGAGCTATAGTTTCCTAAACATGCGTTTCGGATTCGAGTTCATGTGAATATGGAAACATCTTTGAGATGGCTACAATCAATTGAACTTGACAATATTAGAATTAAACTTAGATAGGAAACCATCTAAAAAATAGCTCAAAAGAATATGGAAGATGAGTTAAATTGAGGAGGAATAAGTAATAAACTAATTAATATATAGAGAAGCAAGGCTAGCGTAGAAACTTAGCCTTACCCCTTACATTTTTTTGTATTATACATCATGGAGAGATTGGGTCAACTCATCAAACATCATTGTGAGATACAGCTTTGGAACCTTGAAGATTACTACTTCAAGGCCTTTTTATCTCACCTCTTTTTCGCTAATGACCTTTTCCTTTTTCTCTTCTCAAGCTTCAATTGAGAAAAATGATGATTATTAGAGACAATGAGAGGTAATATATGCTTCGTTGGACTCGCTAGCTATTTTGTCCTAACTTGAAGAGAGTCTTGACATTGATCTCCATTCTTAGTCCAGGCTTACTGTTAAGCACTCCAAATTTAGATTGAATGAGGTCACTTTCAGGTATAACTTTGATTTCTCAAGATGGCCTTATTTTTGCTGCATTTCAGTATATAGATGATCTTGTGTGCCTTGTGATAGATGGTCTTTGATGGGACTGCAATGTCAGGACTACAGAGGAGTACCAAGAGTGCTTGAATCTCTAATTTTAGTCCTCGAGCTTCATTTGTAGCACTTTAATCAACAGAGAAACTATTAACATTTCTTTTCATTTTATTTTAGGGAAGAGTCCATATAAAATAAAATCTGATGA